AAAAAAACATATTTTAAAGTTGATATAGTATCTTTGGCAAATTAAAGTTTTACATTAAAAGACCAAAGGATAAACAAAAAAATAAGAACTAACTTTCTATAATTTTGTGGAAAAATGGAATTAAAAGATAATACTAATCTTTCTATGAACTCATAGATTTTACATACAGGAACTACAATTATCCATTCATGGGTCCTCTCTGTTAAAATATAATTTTTTAATGTGACAACATTGGTTACTGGGTTTTTATGGCATGATTCATGGATATTTGTCTAGAACATTCCAAATAAAAATCAAGATTACTCTTTCAATTATGAACAATTCTGTACCTTTAAAACTTACTTCAGACACACAGTATCATAATTTTTTAAAGGACATGCAAAAAGTACTTATACTAATTTCAAAAGAAAAAACAAGGCTGACAAAATAAACTAGCTTACAATTATCAATAAATGAAAAACCATAAACAGTTTGAAATTCGAACGAATGGAGCTGTACTACATATTTGAAAAAATAATTTTATCCCAACAAATGAAAATGGCTACATTATAAGAAGAAAACATTTAAGTATTCAATTATAACAACTGATAGTTTAGTAGTACTCTAACAATCTAAAATATCTAGGTTTCTGTCTCCAAGTCAAAAAATAATGAAATAAATTCAGTCAGCAAAATAAAATAAAATAAAATAAAAATTATAGATAATACTTATATTTAAGCTCTTAGACTAATGCTACTCTAGTGTACTTCATTAATGTTTCCCTTGAAACTACCAGTGATAGTTAATTTTATGTGTCTACTTGACTGGATCACAGGATGTTCAGATATTTGCTACTTTAGTCTACTTCATTTTTGATCTACATTTATTTTTCACTTCTCCAATTCTAAACAGCTGTAAATGACAGTGATACTGAACCTACTGTTAGAGACTAGAGTGAGCCACAAATTCTACATGTGCTTCCATAAAATGCCAACATACAATAACAAAGTCTGATACCTTGGCTTCCAAACTGTTTTGAAGCTGACTCACAGTTAGAAATAGANAACAAAGTCTGATACCTTGGCTTCCAAACTGTTTTGAAGCTGACTCACAGTTAGAAATAGATTTTACTTTGCAACCCTGTACATGCCTACCTATAGGCAAACATGTAAACAAATTGAAACAAATGTCAGCAATACCGACACACTACTTGGAATAGAGTCTGATATTTTACCATTTAAAAAATGCTGGTTGCTGAAAAACAATTACTAATTACTTTCCACTAAATTAATTTCCCAATTCACTACTGGGCCTTGACTTGTAGTTTGAAAATTATCGATCTAGTAAATCTTATGGTTCAGTAAATTATATTAAATATATACATACTTTGATTGTGTCAGAACTCAACAATGTCTGTGGGGACCTTGAAGGAGAATCAGAAGAATGCTGGAAAGAAAAAAGAATAGAAAAGAAAAAGAAAGAAAGAAAGAAAGAAAAGAAAAAGACAAGCCTGTGAGGCATCATACTAAAGTAGAGAAAAACAAAGAGAAGCGAAGCAAATATTTGAATTGCACATTCTAGTCTAAGGCATTACCATAGACAAGGAATCCTGTAAGACCTTATCAATGGTAGCACAGACCTCTTCAGTTTGCTGCCTGAGCTGTGCAGGAAAACACAACTGGAAGAATTGAAACCAAGTACTGGGTTAGCAATGGGTTTGCGGATTGCATACCAAAAGCAGGGGTAATCTGAAGTCATTACCTCCACAGGTAGGTCTAATGTGTTGTCCTTGGAGACACTTTCAGTCTTGGCTGGTTCATCTAGTGCCTAGTGATAAATGAAATAGTTCTCATATGAGGCTTCTAGTCAAATATAAATGTAGTAGAAAAGTCTCTTCAAAGAAAGATTTGTATATCTCAGTATCTCTAAGAAAAAAAAATTTATGAATCATTTGATGAGGCATTCTCTAATGTGTAGGCATTTTAAATGTGGTTTTTTCTTATTCAGTTCTTCTGTCTACTAATTTGGGCATGCAGCAGAGACAGTGCCAGGTGTTCATCAGATACTTTCATTATCTTGAGCACAATTATACAACATTTTCTTGGCNGTAGTAGAAAAGTCTCTTCAAAGAAAGATTTGTATATCTCAGTATCTCTAAGAAAAAAAAAATTTATGAGTCATTTGATGAGGCATTCTCTAATGTGTAGGCATTTTAAATGTGTTTTTTTCTTATTCAGTTCTTCTGTCTACTAATTTGGGCATGCAGCAGAGACAGTGCCAGGTGTTCATCAGATACTTTCATTATCTTGAGCACAATTATACAACATTTTCTTGGCCTTAAGAATATAAGTGTGGGCTTGTGAGGGATTCTCATTGAGTGCAATAAAAAGGGACGTGTAACTTCTGGGGCAAGGGAGTTAGAAGTGGACATGACTTTCATCATTCACTCTCTCATCTTCTTCAGATAACTGAGATGCAAGAGGAAAGTAGACAACACTACTGAGTCACAGAGGACAGCCAAGTCGAGCTACACTGAACTATGATGTGGGAAGAAAATAAACATTGATACTGTTAAGCCACAGAATTGTCAAGGTTTTTCTATCGTAGCAGCTGGTATTGCTTACATTAACTAATGAAGGCACCATAGACTATCTTTTTTTTTAGAAATTAACCTTAAAATTTTTCCATTCGTACTAAGGTCTAACCCAAGCAATCCAAAATCTGAGAACGCTTCATATAATATGTAGGAATCTTGAAATTATACCATTCAATTCACGCCCCTGCTTGTTTTTGTGTTCTAATTGCCATATGAATTACATTTAAATATGTTCAAAACATCATGTTACCATGTTGTAATTTTTGCTTTAAATAATTATTTGTATTTTAACAAAATTTCAACAAAAAAAAATATTTTATAGTTTCTCACATATCCACCATTTCTCATGCTCTGCATTTCTCTTCAAAGTTCTGAGTTTATATTTACCATTATCTTCCCTTAGCCTGAAAAACTTGCTTTAGTCCTTTTTTGTAGTACAAGTCTGCTATCAAGAAATTCTCTTAGTGTTTTGTTTTTAACTGAAAATATCCTCACTTTCTCTTCTTTCTTGAAGGAACTTTTCCTGGATAAAGAATGTAGAGTTTCTTTTGTTCTCTCAGCATTATCAAGGTGTCATTCAATTGTCTTCTGGCTTCCATTGTTTCTGATGAGAAGTTAGGTATCATTGTGTTGCTGTTTCTTTGTACGTAGGGTACTATTTTTCTCTGTCTGCTTTCAAGATTTTCTCTTTTTATTTGACATTTAGAAGTTTGATAGTGATGTGCCTTGGCATGGTTTTCTATCTTTTAAAACTTCTTGAAATTATCTGAGCTTGAAAATATACATTTATATACATTTATATCTTTCATCAATTTGGAAAACTTTTGTCCATTAGTTTCTTCAAATATTTTTGCCACTCCATTCTCTCTCTCTTCTCTCCTTTTGATATTCCACCTATATTTTGATATTATTCCACATGTCATTTCCACCCCCACCCCCACCTCCCATTTTTCAAATCAGGCAATTTCTATCAATCTACATGTTCAATGACACTTCTGTATTTTCTCTTACTTTTAAGTTTTCTCTTAAATTAATCCACTGAATTTTAATTTTCACTTTTATTTTTCAGTTCTAGAATTTCCATTTGATTCCATTTTATATTTTCTATTTTTGTGATAAGAATTCCCATACTTAATTCATTATGAGCACTTTTTTTACACACTTCAGAATATTTATATTAACAAATTTGAAATCCTTACCAGCTAATTACTATATATGAAAAAACTGGGTTGATCCCTATGGATTATATTTTTTCTTGAGTATGGTTTACATTATTCTGTTTCCTTGTATGTCTAGAAACTTTGAATTATAGCCTGAATATTTTAAATGATGTGTTACAAAGACTGCAAATTCTGTTACAGTCTCCTGAAGAGAATTATTTTGTTGTTTAGTTGTAACATGCAGTTAATTTGGCTCCAATGTCTCTGTCTCCCTGATGGTGGGCAGCAACTGAAAACTTTGTTCAGTTATTTTAAGCTTAGCTGGGTTTAATGGGCACATATATAATTCAATAGTCATCCAGAGACTTGAGGAGAATTTATTTACATACAGCATTTGAGGCTCCCCTTCTGTGACTCTCTCTTTTCCTGGGTTCCTCCCCAGCTTTTCAGTTCCCCATGTGATCTTGTACTCTGTTCTCTGATAGCTTGTTCAGTTAAGTCTGCAAATTTCTTGCTGAGTTTTACCTGCTTCATGGAGAGCAGACCAGGGGATACCCATAAGGTGAAAAATCATAAAATCTAAAAAGTAACCCAATGCCATTTTCTTCTCACAAGCATTGACTTTACTGCATTTCTACTTGTACTTGGTAATGCTCCAGCATCTCCAGATGAATCTTTATATATATATATATATATTCATTCATTCATTCATTTATATAATCTTTATATATAAATATATACACACATATATATATATAATCTAGAGTTTATCATTATCTGCAAAACAGTTGGTCCAGTATAAGCTATTCCTCCATTTCCAGAAGCAGAATAGGCAAACAAATTTTAATGTAAATTTAATTAAAATTTTCCAGCACACATTTTCTTTATCTCAAAGATTGTACGAATTTAAATTTCAAGCCCACCTCAGTTAGGCTTATAGTTAGAGGCTTTTTTCCTACCCTGAGTCCAGACTAATATAGGAAAATGTGCTTGTCATTTCCCTTTGCAATTTTTTTTTCTCATCCATCTTGCAATTGAGTGTAACCCTTCAATAATCCTGATTTTTTATGATAGGGAAGCAATTCTAGTTTTCTATCTCATTCATCCCCAAGTCTTTCTCTCCTCTTGCCAAGTTGACAATAAATCTCAATCTTTATTATCAGTTAACTTAATACCTTCAGAACAACCAAAGCATCAGTGTCCTGATAGACATTATAAATCTCAGCCTATTTTTTGGTATTTGAACCTTGAGGATTTCCCCAACTATTTTATGAGTTCAGCTTTATATTGGGTTGAACCACAAGAAATTACCAGCATTCAACTGAGAATGACTTACAACAAATGTCAATTTCATGTGGTTCAACCTATTTTTAATAAATTTTCAAATTTTTGATCATTTATTTTAGGTGTTTTACAATAGGAAGTATTTTAAACTATATAGTTTCAATCTGCTTTCAACATCTGACAAGCTACCACTATTAATGTTATTCAGAAAATATGTGTTATGAGTTCTGAAGGCAATTACAAACAGGTCACCAAAAATGTGGATAAGTAATTGCACACTAATTAAAGTAAGTGACTGGTCCCTGAAGTCAGATACTTTAAAGAGAAAAATGATCACTTGAATATATATCTTCTGGTAGATTTTTAAACAAACAAAAGACTCAGTTCTTTATTGTCATTTCTTATATAACTTTTTAGAATTATAGGCCACCCTGTCTCTTATTTAGATTTCCTTCCTATTCCTGATTTCTTCATTATTCTGATGTAGTCATATCCTGACTAGAAAGTGTCATTTCAGCCATGGAACAATGGAATCCATTGCTCATCAGAATCTATTTTCTTTCTTCTAACAGAGTCAGGGATATAACAGATCCAGAACTAACAGGCACCATGTCCAGTTACTACAGTCGTCATTCTTGCACAGGATATAACCCATAAAAATTCAGGTAAATGCCAAGTAAAAGGCAAGATCAAACTATTCGTTCATTTTAATAACTCATGAAGAAAAATGCTGTCTGAAGAGTTTTGTTTTCAAAATTTACTTCTCTTTATTACATAACAAAATTCAGAAGACTGGCAATGAAAACCTAATAGAAAAACTTGACTGTCTCTTTCTCACCATAAAAAAATCTCTCATATGCTTTCTTCCTTTATCCTCTAAAATTATGATTAATCAATGAGAATGATTGGCAGGGAACAGAAAATTTCATAAAAGTAACTTCTAGCTGGTGTTCAGATGGTTTAATTTTTTCCTGACATGGTGTTCGAATCACCTCCTATGCACCCTGTTGGTGAGGGAGATGTTTCTTTCCTAGTGTTGTGGGGATGGCTGAATACATACCCTTGACTGGACAGATGAAATCAACAGATTACTAGCCACATATACTCACAGTCTATGGGAAGAGGACACTGCATTCAATCCAGGGCCACACAAGGGAGAAAGTCAACCCGGGGGCTGTGGGTATCAAGAAGTTGAGGTGCCCCATGGTTCCCACTGTGATTGGCTTGTTTGAATAATTCTGAAGAAACTGGAACCTACTGCTAAGGCATAAACAGGAACTGCACCTCGTCATTTTAATGAGGAGGATTCCTTGGCTAGGGGACCTTATCTGCAGGAGCAGAGTCAGTTAGTCCATTTGAGGCTCTCCAAATTTAAGCACATGTCAGGATAGCACACAATATTGGACTTTAATTTTAGGCCTTACACATGACCTCTACTAGTGATAATTACACAGAAGAAAAATCTCAGAAGTTAAAAACCAGGACTAAAAAAAAACTCCTTAGGAAAGAAGTTTGTCCTGGCACCTTCTCACCTTTCCAACAATGACTTCCATCCTCTCCTCACTAGCACGCTTCCCATTAACCACCAAGAACCACTTGAGTTTTTTCAACTTGTGTGATCTTTTTTACAACATGTTATTTAATTATTTGTTTCTTTTTATGGTAACCATCATGGTAACCTTTTTTTTTTTAATTGAAACATTGATTATATTTATTTGTGGGATACAGAGTTGAATATCAATACATGTACACAATGTGTCTATTGGGCTCCAAAGCAAAATGCATTC